GAATTGAGCCTGCATCCAAGCTTGATAAAGTGGTAATAAACTGACCTTGCATCCAGGATGGGACTAGCTGGAGGTGATAACGAACTGGGCCTTACATCAAGGGACACAGCGATGAGTCACCCCTTTGGAATCTGAGCTTAGAATCTATATAAGAGACCCTTCCCCCTTATTGAGGGGGCAGTAGCTGCGGACCCCAGCCTAGGGGCTCCGTCTCAGCTGCTGTCCAGAGCAATAAACTACTTGCTCAGCCTTTCTGCCTCCAGCCTTCCTTTCTTGCGGCGGTCACAGAAGTTGGGACAAAACAGTAAGGAGACTGGTGTTATCACTCCAGTTTTGCCAAGAGGGGAGCTTAAGCACAGAGAGTGTGTGTGACTTGCCCAGAGTTACACAGCTGCAAAGTGGTGGAGCGAGAGCTTGCATCCAGCCAGTTGGGCTCCAGAGTCCTCTTACTGTCTTTGCTCAGTGACCTAATTCAAACAATACATGGGCCAGTTGGTTTCAGATGACTATAATTACTCATTAGAAAATGAAATCAGGCCCTCCCTTGTGGCGCAATGAGTTAGGATGCAGCACTGCAAGCTAGCTGCAGCCACTTCAGTGCGAGTTCAATTCTGGCCCCGGAGGTGATGACATGACATGGCAGACCTCTAGCAGACCTCTACGGACCTGCCCGCTGCTCTCCTCAACAGTGTGTAGATCTGCCTGTTCTGCTCCCCACTCTGTCTCTGGTGAATCCTCTCACCCTCTGCATTTCTGGCTTGTACCCCAGTTCTGTATGCATAAATAAATATATATGTATATATATTTTTTAAGAAAGAAAGAATGTGAAATCGGATGCTGTGATGGTGACAGAGGCAGCCTTAGATTCAGCAGTCATTTAAGGACTCGTAGGGAAAGGAATTGGTGACATATGATCCAAGACCAGGAAGATTATATTAGCACCCAGACCATCTCTGTGGGACCCTAGGGAATCCTGGTACACAGATCAGGGCTACTGTGGACCTTTGGTCCATGACCAAGGACCTACACTTCTTAGCTAGAACCCTGGAATCACCTGGAGGCAATGCTTCTCAGGAAAGGGTATGCAGAGTAAGGCCTGGACATAGGCTGGGACAGCAGAAGCCGAGTCCCCTAAAAGCAGAAGCTGAGTCCCCTAAAAGCAGAAGGCCGAGGATTTCAAGCATTAGGTCTGTTGACTTCCATACACACTGTCACACATACACATGAGAAATCATACAAATACCCCCAAACCCATGTCCACAGTTCCCTACTCAGAATCTCACCTATCCAAGGCCTCCGATCCAGGCCTTAGAGCTCCCTAGAACCATCCACACCCCGCCCCCGCCCCCCACCTTCTGGGGTCATAGGAGGCAGTGAGACCCTGAAATGTATAGGGTAGTACTTAGATCAGCATATGATTTTTCTCCTGAGGGCATTGATAAATTGAAGGAGATTATTTGTACAACACTATCAAGTTAAACAGCTCCTCCCATTCACACATTAAGGACAAGCCCTGGTCTCCTCTCTGGCCTCAGCGAAGGGACGAGGCAGGTAGAAAGCAGTGACAGCGACATTCTTTCTTGGGGCCATGGTCTTCCAAAATAAATATTCTGATCACCTTGGGGCCTCAAAAAGATAACAGATTTCTGAGATTTTCACTCAGGGAGTCCAGAGTGAAGCCAAAGTCCTATAGTTTTGTAAGCACTCCAGGCAACTTTGCTGACTCCTAATCTGAAGAGCTGCAGGAGTGGCCCAGCGATCTGCTTGCCAAGACAGGGCAGGATGGGCCTGGGGTTGGCAGTGACGAACCTTATCCCAGGCATCTGTCCAGCTAACAAAAGGCTATTTTTGCGCATGACCCTATGTTTGCCTGGACACTGGTGGTGGGAGAGAGACACTGTCTCCTCTCACCTGGGTTACCAGGGCTCCTCTTAGCACCGAGCACTGGAGGGCTGAGCACTTCCTCAGTCACTCCGGGTCACTAGAACAAAATCACTTGGAGTGTACTTTCCGGCATCTCCAACTCCGGCCCCGTGATGATGTTTATCATTTCTGGTTAGCAAGGGGGGAAAAATCCCTGTTTCCTGGCAGGTTCCAAAACACAGATGAGTTACACAATAAATTGCAACAACCTCCCAGGTCAGAGTCTCAGGGCCATGATGCATACATCAAGGGGGCAAGTTCAGGGTCTCACTGTGACCTGGGTGCTGGTCGATTTCTGACTGTCCCAGAGAAGGTCGGTCCTGGGTAAGAAGCACTTTGAAGAATGTGAATGCTGCACCTTCAGTTGGTACCTCAAATCTCTCCTCTGACTTGGGCATGGATAAAAGCGAGAATAGCAGAGCTATGGGAATCCAAAGGAAGACTATCCTGCAGGAAAAAGGCCTACAATTCTAGGATTCAGACACAGACTAACAGCCTGAGTCTTGAATGTTGCAAACTCTGGTAGTTGCTGTGGTGCTGGCCCAGGAAGCAAATTGCAATCCCTTTGCTGCATCTGTATTTCCGCAGAAGACCAGGACTTACAGCTGTGATTTAATCTCACAACCCCCACCTCCAGAGCAGGGTGTATTTGCTATTCTGAGTTTAGCACCCTCACTACCTATGGGCTTGTGAAATAGGTTAAAGGGTTTCAGGCCACAAATATTATAGTTTGTGCAAAATTGACAGGTAGCAGAACTGAAAACAATTTTCAGATTCTGCAGCTTTGCTCCTGAAGTGGGTCTCTGTAGGTCTGAACCTGCGTGTAATCGTTGCTTCATCTGACTTAAGAAAGAAGAAAAATTTACAGATCAATTTATAGATCATTAGAGACCAGGGAGCTAATCAGTGACAACTGGCGCCTTCACTGGAGAGCTGACCTCAACAAAGTCAACCAAGCCCCAGATTCTAAAGCCCGATCCTCCCCCAGACCCAGATGCTGCTCCTTCGGCCCACCCACGGCACACAGAGACCCAGGCCTTCTTCCACCAGAGTGTGATCCCAGAATTAGGGCTCAGGCTCCACAGAGCCCAAACGCCAGCCTTCTGGGCAGGAATACTCTGAGGTACAACCTTCAAGTTCTTAAACTTTGCAAGCGGCTGCAAAGGAAGCTCTCAGCTCAGTTTTGGTTACCAGCTTCCTGGTCCCAAACCAGCGTGGCAAAAGATATAGCAGAGATTCTTGTCCCGTCAGAACAAGCAGTGGGACTCAAGAGGTTGGGGGGAGTCACCCCCAGTCCTGAAGTACAGAGGGAGCAGGTTCAAAGTTCTGACTTCATGAGGTCCCTGGGTAAGAGGTTTCAATCACCATCCCTCCCTTAGAGAAGAAACCACTTGTCTCCTGCCAAGGGCAGAGGATGGGAGAGGAGAGTCCCCTTGAACTCACCATTCCCCTCTTGTTCTAGGCCCTGCAAAGGCCAGAGATCTCTCTGCCGAGTCCCATGAGATGCACTCACCTCCTAAGCTAACGTGATTGAGGTCTCTCTGCTTACTGATAAGAATGGGAAGTAACGATAGGGAGGCGGTCTTCTCAACTCCAGGAAGATTGGTGGCAAAGAGATGCATTAGAGTGAGGAGCTCTGAAAAGCTTTTTGAGTGTTAGATCAGGGAAAGAACAAGCTCTTCCCACCTAAGAGCCCTGGGAGAAGACCACATCCTGCGAGGTGGGCCGGGAGAAAACCAGCAAGGATCTGAATGGAGGTTTCTTAATGAGTGGGGGGCAAGTTTGACAACCTGGGCAGATAAAAATCAAACTCTCAGAACAGGAATGTGTGTGTGTCATGATGAAGAATGCAAAGTGTAGGGAGCACCAGAGAAGGAACTAGAAGAGGAAGCCTGAAAGGGGAATGGAAGAATTTTCTTACAGATTTTTATCATTTCCCTGACAGAGGGGGCAATTATCATACCCTGGAAAGAGCCTGTGTGCCCGGACAAGGGTGTATTGCAGCTAAGGGTACTTATTATGAATGGTGTGAAGCAGGAGACATTCACCTCTCCTGGGGCAAGGGAAAGAACTTTACCCTGTATTCATGTTTCAGTATCCAACCCACTAAGCCACATGGTAATTCCCTGGTGTACCCATTCAAGAAGTACTCACCAAGCACTTCACAAGAATGAGGTGCTCTCTCTGGTAGTTGAGATTCCCCCCTCCCGCCCAAAAAAAAAAAAAAACCAATAAAATGGAAAGCTAATTTTAACAAAAACATTTCACTAAGCTAAAGTGGCCCTCGGCTAATTCATGAAATAGTTGCCAATCTCATTTTGCAAGTGGCATTCACTGAAGCTAGAATTTGCTCTTCCTTATGACTGCATGGGCTGCACATAGTATCAGCTCTACCCACCCTGGGATTGCTGAGAGACACCCAAGGTCCTGAGCAGAACTGTGGGCCCACACAGAATCAGCTGTGTTATTTGCAAACTGGATGATGATGCATGTAGGATGTGAAACTCACTTGAGGGGAGGGCTCTTCTTACGTCTAATAATAATAATGGACCTGTTGGGCTGGGATGGGATGAGGGTGTCACAGAAGGAAGGACATGGCTACATGTTAGTGTGGTAGCCACAGGTTTTCTGCTGTGGCTCAAGAACAGCTGTTAACAACACGCATGCTATAGATGTGGTGAACCAGGCATGGGGAGGGAGTCAAGCGGGAAAGGTTGGCATCAAGTGGCACCAAGAGGAAAAAGGCACTGGCTGAGTGTGGCAACCTATCCAGGCACAGCTGTGACCCTCCACTGGCCCCTCTGCTGGGCTGCAGTGTCCTCGCTGTAAAAGGAAAAGGCAGGTGGGAAACCTTCCATGGGTGCTTCTGACCCGTGTCTTGAGCAGGACAGAGGGTGCCCTTTATCATGGACTGCACCCAAGACCCTTGTGCCCTCTGTTGGTCTCATTTCCTCATCCCATATCAAACACATTCCCTTGGTTGTCCTCCCCATGAAAGCAAAGAGTCCACACTGGATGTGCGAAAGGTGGCATGGAATTCTCTTTCAGGGCAGCAGGGAGCCAGGAAGGAGGCTGAGGGAGCTATCTCTTCAGGCCGGTAATTCACAGATGGCTTGGAAGGATGAGGAGCAGGAGATGTCATTCCACAACCCGTCCTTGAGGAGGATCACGCAGTCCTCCCCTGAGCCGTGGTTATTAGGCTCATCCTTCTTCCAGTTGCTGTAGGCTAGCCTCCCTCCTGTCACATACATGAACTGTCCTTCTGTCTCCTCATCCGTGATGCCCAGGAAGGCACTGTCTGTGGCAACCTTCTGGATGGCTTGGTTCTCCTGAGCATTCCTAGGCATGGCCACAGAGGCCTGGAACCCGGCACACAGAGCCTTTACTTTGGAAAAAGGCATCTTCTCCCCATTGGTCACAAAGAGCTTCTTTCCAGATTGTTTGCCCAGGGAGAAGATTTGCACTGGAATCACAAAATGATGTGTGAGGTTGACTTGACTTGGAACCCAGCCCCAGACAGGAGGTGAGAAAGACCTGTGAGGAGTTTAGGACTAAGATATCGCCCCAAGCTCAATGACTGCAGGTGAGAGCCTAGAGAAGACGCGCCGTAGATGAAAAGCAAGTCCCCTCCAGGAAGTCTGGACTCTCCTGGGGTAGCACACCTTTGAACAACCATCTGTAGAGACCATCCTAGGCCCTCTCTGGTGGTGCAGGGGATTGGAGCGCTGTACTGTGAAACTAAGCCAAGCCATGGCCGCTTCAGTGTGAGTTCGATCCCTGCCCTGAGATGATCTACATGGCTCAGCAGACCTCTCCTGACCCGCCTGCTGTTCCCCTCAGCAGTGTATTTGTCAGTCTGTCTGTTCTGCCACTCTGTCTCTGGTGAGTCCTCTCGCCACCCCTGCACCTCTGGCCTATACCCCAGTTCTGTATGCATTAAAAATCTAAAATCTTAAAAAAAAAAAAAAAAAGAACCATCCCAGTACAGAAAGATGCAGGGAAACTAGGGAAACTGCTCAGCCTCACTGCCAGGCTTGGGCCTCTGGAGGACAAAGGGTTGGAATGACCCCAGATGAGCAGTGGTCGCTGAGAAAGGAGTGAGATTCTGGAGACAGCAGAGCTCCATGCCATCTTCCCTCACGGTGAGGCTTGACTCAATTGTCTATACTTCCTGGACTTATTTTTTCCTCAACTGTAAATAAAATGAGTATGATATGCACAAATAGGGTTGGTGAGAGTTGTCAGATGAAGCCATATCATGAGAAAATGCCAGCCTGGTATCTTACATGTTCATAATTGTTCTCATCCACCCTCCCTCAAATCCAGAGCACTCGTAAGAGAAAGCTGAGCACAGAGAACACATTGGGGCTGCAAAAAACTTACATTTTCTTAAGTGGTCCAGTTGTGTTTTCAGGATCCTTATCTCTTCCTCTAAGTTCTCTAGCTTAGCCTCAGCAGCTACAAAGCAGTAAGGAGAAGGGTGTTCATTGAGAAGACCCCAAGTAGGAGAGCTGAGTATTCAGCTCTATGTTGTACACACTAGAAAACAGCTTATTCCAGAAAACGAGACCAAAGAAGCAAAAGGAAAGTTATACCATATAATTGTCTTCTGAGCTATATTTACTCTGGTGAATTATAACTCTAGAACTGATGGTAATAATAATATTAAAGATAATAATTTTTATTCTCATTTTAAGCATTTCCCTCCATCATTTTCTCTCATTTCTTATTCCAGGCAAAATCCTTCATACTTTTCAATATTTTGCTGGGCCAATGCATACATAAGAGGTCATGGTTTTTCCTTTGTTGTTACTGAGTTTATTTTACTGTCTACTGGGTTGCTATGATGTGCCCCATTAGTCAGGGGTTCCATGAGGCTGACCACTTTCATGCCTCTCTTGTGACAGGAGACATGAGCCCGAGAGGCTCCGCTTTCCCCACAGCCTGGGGGCTGGAGAAGAAGCAGAGACCATCTCCTGCAGGGGCAGGGAAGGATGGCCAGACAGAGTCTGCGAAGCTGTACAGTGAGACCTCAGTTCAAGCAGTTGATAGGGTCTTGAAAACTGCAACTTTACGTGAAGCGACATAAAATGAAACCAATTTTACCATAAATTGACTGACAGAATGAGAGTTACATTCCTATTCCAATGTTTCTGGCCCTTGGAATATATGGAGTATATCTGATCACAAAATATCACCAAATTTCGAAAGACCCCAAGCACTTTTAATATCAAACCATAACTTGTATTTATTCATTCATTTCCAAGCCATGGATTCCAGTTTAGGTCTCTGGGAGCAGAAACTATTCTGGTAGCTCAGGGTGCAGGGTGGGACTCATCTCTGGACAGGATACCCTGCTCTCTCTCTCTCTCTCACAAGAACCTAAAGCACATATTTCTGAGAAGTGGGAGGACAAGGGGGTACCCAGACAGCCATGGGGAGAACATGCAAATGCCACAGAGTGGCCCCTGCTGGGAATCAATTTTCTCCTGTTAACATGACAACAAAATGGCATTCAACAAACTGGTATTATTGGACATTATGCAAGGACGTGCTGCACCTGGCTCCACTGGGAAGCCTCAGGCTCAAGCAGTGATGGAGGGAAGGTGGCGCTGGGGCAGGATGCAGAGCTGAGCATCTCCTGGGACAGCAGAGGAGAACCTCACCCATCTCTGGGTGCTGGGCCCCTTAGCCCACACCCCCACACTGTGCTAGGCTGAACTCCTCACCTCTGTTGCTTCCAGGATCTCCTTTGGCACCCTTTGGTCCTGGAGGCCCCACCATTCCTGGAGGCCCCAATTTCCCTGGAGGGCCCTGTAAGCCTCTGAGTCCTTGTCCTGTGGGGAGGTGAAAGAACATTGACCCAAGGATTATTGTATATTCTCACTCCAAAATCTCAATTTCTTGGTTGATATTCACCTCAGGAAACCACTGGTGAGCCAGAGGTAACCCAAGGCAGAAAGATCTCCTGTATCCCAGCAGATGGCCTCTCCTATGGCCCAGCGCCTGAAGTCAGCCACACACCACCCATTTCCATGTAGAGATGAGGGCTCCTGGAATCTCAGAGCAATTTCGGTGTTTTGGAGAGAATGACTCACCCAGAAATCACACTGAGGGAATCGTCCTCTACCAGAACAAACTGAACCTCTCGGCGTCTCTGTGCTACATCCCTCGTATGGAACAGTCTCGGCTGGGGGCAAAGTCAGAGCAGCCTGTCCCATACCTGGCTCTCCCTTTTCTCCCTTGGGCCCATCTCGCCCATCTCGGCCTGGGGTGCCACAGTTAACCACAGAGCAGGTCTTCTCGGCATTCTCACAGACTTCTGCTACCGACGCTGTCACCACACACAGAAGGAAGACAGGAAGTGAGGAAGACAGGAACATGGTCCTGATCTGAGAGTGGAGAAAGTCAGGAAAATAACCCACCTCGGTCAGCCAACATTTGCTACCCTCTCTGGTGCTGGGCACTGGGCTCTGTGCTAGGGGTGCACACAGAGGGGAGCAGCACACCCCTCAACCCTGAGTTACTCCCCAGCCATAGGGGGCAGACAAGTAAAATGTTTTAGAGTTGGCTGGGTGCTAAATGCCAGAGTGATCTGATAGGTCCCATCTCCCTGGGGCCCCAGCAGCCCTGTGGGTATGGCTCAGGGGGTTTCGGCAGTCCCCGCACAGGGCCACAGGGTCTGGAGGGGGCAGATACTCTGCTCTTGGTGGCCTGGGGCACAGGCAACGTGGGCTCGTGGCTGCCGTGAGCTCTGGCTCTTCATTTCCTCTACTCCTTTTCTTGAGGACAAGGGAAACTGTTTTCCCCTTGTCCCTCTTTCAGCTTATCCAAGAGCTGGACTCGAATGAAAGCAGGTGATCTGAGATACCCCCAGGTCCACCTCCTGGCAGGACCTGGTTTAGGACACCCATTCTTTCATTACCTTTAGAAACTCTGATGATACTCAAGTTCCCTGCCCCAGGTACTCAGAACCCAGTTATGTCCCCAATAGTCTGTCAATTATAAATATCTATATAACATGTATATATATGACTGACATATTGACAGCAAGTGTCTGTCACACTATACATATACATATACATATATGTGTATGTGTAGCTGAGGGCTCAGGGCTCAGAATGAATAACTCCCTGAGGCAGGATTCCAACTCTCAGAATGGAACCTTCTTTGATCATGGATCATGGCCAGATGAGACTTAGCTATGACTCATTTCCTTGGTGTGAGATTAGACCCTTTTCCATCAGCTAGATCCAAGCTCCCAAAACTTCTGCACACCCTCACAGGATGTCAGCTCCTCCTCCTTCTCCTAGCAGGGTTCTCTGCCTGCTGTCGTTCTGTCTCCTCAGACTGCTAAAGCTGACCCCTCTTTCACAGAGCCTTGCAGCCCAACTCCCTGTGGCCTCCCTCTGCTCCCCTCTGGCCTCTAATGCCAATGGCTCTGGGCCTTGCTGTTCTTGCTGTCCTGGCCTGTCAGCGCCTTTAACCTTCCCTCCGCCAGGACTCAGAAGTAATACAATAGAAGAGAATTTTCTAGATTGCATTCTTTTCCACTTTTCCTCTTTCTGTCTATTTAGTTAATCACCCTTGATATGCCGGAGGCCAAGCTCAGGGTACGCATATGTTGCTGGCATATACACCCCACTTCCACTCTTCCCTTTAACTGAAAAGACCTTCAGTTAAAAGATAGTCAGGTGGATCCAATATGGACACAGTGAACCACGTCATAGAAACAAAGGTCCGGAGGGGGCCTGATTACCCTGAAACCTCCCAGCCTGGACTCTGCTAGGATCAAGCCAAGTGGCCAGACTCCTGGCCCAGCCCCCGCCTCCTCCAGCCCCATCCTCCAGAAATGACTTACTAGTCCTCTTCAGAGCACACAGGCTGTGGTGGGGTAGCTGGCCCTCTAGCACAGGCCTCTGGCAGATGTCTCAACAACACCAAGCCCAGTTAGCCTGGTGACCAAGGATAGTGCAGGACTGGCCTTCAACCCGGGATTAATCAACAACTGTCTTAAAACTGCTACATCCTTGGCAGGCCTCCAAGCTGCAGTAGGTTCTCCAGCACAGCCCCGGGCACCTTTCCACTTTAACACCCTAAACTCCTCCTTCCACTACCTCTCCCCTGCATCCATTTCTACAGCTTGGCAGTACTGATCCTTTCGAATCACAGGGTCAGTTCCCTCCAGAGATTTATCTCCAGAAGAGATATGTATAGGTGCTCTGCCCAGCCATGCCCAAATGCATGCACACCTGGGGTATGTCTCTGGGTCAGTTATCTTGACTAACTTACTGCTCCAGTGGTGTTTAGTTTAATAGGGAGAGAAAGAAGGAATTAAAGATCTACCACTTTGGGTCATCTCAGTTCTCCCTTCTTCCTCCAAATATGTAAGAGCTGTCTTCTCTGGGCATGTCACAGGGCTAGGCTCCGGGAGTGTTTGTGGACCACTTGACTCAGAGCTGAACGTGGGGTTGTCTAGCTGGTCCTGCCTGGCCGCCTTCTATTTTTGCATAGTCTTTGTCTTTCAACTTTCAGCTTAAATATTAGAAAAGAGGTTTTCCTTCAACATTTAAGTGGCCACTCTATCCTTAAATTGTTATTTACCATTCTATATCTGATGCCTATAATTTATGTCGACGTAAAATTATCTTATTTACTTGGTTGTAAATTTATTGACCACATCCTCCTTTAAAACAGGAATTTCAGTAGACCAGGAGGATTGTGTTCCAAACTGGAAGTACCTGGAAACAGAGTCAATGTTCAATAAATATTTATGAAACAAATAACTCCTCCATCATCATGTGCCCAAAGCTGCCCTTTGACTTCTCTCCAGCTAGAGCCAAGGTGTGTGCCCATGTTCCCAGCATTTTTACTTTCTCAGAGCCAGAGCTGTGCTATTTGCCTTCTTGTCTCTAGGGTGCAGCCAGGAAGGGCACATAGAAAGGGTCACTAGAGAGGGTGAAGAGAGCGACTGAGACCATGAGCAGGAGCAGAAAGACCAGTGTTCTTCCATGCCTGGGGTTCCAGGACTGTCCGGTTCTTATCACCAGACCCGGTCAAGTGACTTTTTTCAAGTCCCTGAAGTGACCTTTGGTCTTATCCTTCCCCAAACTTAAACTTACATTTGGAGCACTTAGTTACACCAAACAACTCAAGAGGTTTGCTTTCACCCTGGTGGGAAGCAGGGGCTGGACCTCTTGCCCTGGACTCTGCCTTGGGATTGGTGTTTTGGCTTCTCAAGGGGTCGTTAGTCCTGTGAGCTCAAGTCACCATGACCTGGTCAGCAGTTGTCTAAGGTGCCTATTATAAGGGAGGTGCTAAGAGGAACCATTGTTAAGAAGACCCCTCTCAGGGTGGGGTTTCCTGGTAGCATTGACAGAACTGGACAGAACTCCTAGGCTCAGAGGACAAAGAACAGCACGTGGGCAGACTTCCATGGAAGGCACAAATTTGAAACGGAGAGATTATTTGAAGCCAGGACTCTAGTTATGTTACTGACTTAGAGAATTGACTTCTAGTGACAAGAAAAACAAAAACAAAAATGAACAACTGAGCTCCATCAAACTAAATAACTTCCACAGAGCCCAGGGGTCAGCCTGTAGTGCATACAGGGGTAACGATAATGCAAGACACCTGCAATTTATGTTATAAACCAATGTTATCTCTATTAAAAGGAAAAAATGGTAAATATCATAGAAACAGATGATATTTCTAACATTTCAAAAGACAAGTAGATATTCATAAATAATCAATTATCTTTCAGGAAATATTTGACTCCAAAAAGATGGTTGGATGTAAGATGAGCAAAAAATAAATAAAATGTTTTCATATAAATGAACAATAGTTTAAATGTGATAAAAATAAGACAGAATC